CTCTCTCTGCAGCCACAATGAGCGAAAGGTGACCTGCAAGCACCCGGTGTCTGGGTTCCCCTCACAGGACAACTGCATCTTTGTGGTTAATGAACAGTAAGTTTCTCTGCACTGTCACATGTACACGCAGCATTAAATGATTTCTGTGCTGATTTCAAAGGAAACTGTGAGGAACGGGTGCAGCTGTCATAGATGTGACCGACTGTGAATGCACGCTGTGACCTTTGTAGGAATAAAAATGGTTTTGAAAATATAAAGACTCAGCTCGGTGTCATCAGGTGATGTTACCCAGTACCAGGTATTTCCTTTCAGCTGCCGGGTTCCAAGCGAAAACGTGACGTCAGCAGGCTGCACGCCACCAACTGCCCAGTCAGTGGTCTCATAAGAGCGATTCCATCACAAAAATCAAAACCGCCGCTGTTGAAACCCGAGACATGGCTGCACAAAAACTTTGTTCCCCGTGTCTGACCAAACGCCACAGACCAAGCAGCAGGTTTACGACTGCCTCCACACCATCGATGTGCTTGTGTCGCAGACTTTAAGGCACCATGCACGTTGAGGTGGGACTCAGCTGTGAAGGAAACGACCAACCTGGACTCGAGCAGGTGGAAAAGTGGCTTTAAGACTGAAGTGAGGGACACAACACAACAGGGCGGCTTCTCCACTCAGACAATGAAAACACTCGTTATGGATGCATACCTGCAAACTGCAGTGTGTTTGTTTCTTCCTGTTAAAAGGTCGTTTCTCCTTCCTGCTGTCACAAGTGCTGATACAGGAGCGAACACATGAACAGGCGACCCAGGCGACCCGTCCTGTGTATGTGAGCTTCAGACCGACTGGTACCGGCTGCTGCAGATGACTGTGATGGGCTGTGCTGTGATGGGCTGTGCTGTGCAGGATTCTCACACTTCTTAGTCTCAAATGCATGAATGAATCACTGATTTCCAGTTTCCAGCCCTCTGTGTTTACAAGGTTTTACTGTTGCATGTCACCACATGTCTGATTTCCTTTGTGTGTGCAATTATGTTTGTTTTTGCCAGCTTTGCTTCAGAATCATAAAATAGCAACATAGTCGTAATAAAGAAGTGACGTTCTCCTCTCCAAGGAACAAAACTAGAGATTAACAATGAAAAAATCAGGATAACTGAGCTGAAATTAAATTTAGGGATGAGCTTTTTCCATGCAGCTGACACACACGCGCACACACACTCTCACTCTCTCTCTCTCACACACGCGCACACACACACACAAACAGACACACACAGACGTTACTTCTAAGTTCACTTTGGCAGGATCTCTCTCGCTCCTTTTCTCACTCTCTTCTTCTTCCTTCCAAATTATCTCCTGAGTCAATGTAGCAGTTAAGGAGTACTGAAGAGATCGTGTGTGTGTGTCTGTGTGTGTGTGTGTGTGTGTGTGTGTGTGTGTGTGCGTTATGTAAAGTTATGTTAATTAGGTGCACAGAATGTGTATTTTTAAACCTGCTGAAAACAGCGGAGGTGAGAAAGTCAGAGAAAGGTGTTAACCTGTTAATGAGACTTTCACCTTGTTCCGCACTGATGATGACGATGATGATGGTGATGATGGTGAAATATTCCTCCTTTAAGTTCAGTCCAAGTAAGTTTGCTGATGTGACCTGTGCAGTTATGCTTTTGTGGATCTTTTGTGCACTTTGCCAAACTCTCTGTGCTGCCACAGCCATGAAAGGCTGGATGCTTCGTTTGGCTCTCGGCTCGAGATGAGCTCCTCGACAGCAAAGTTCATCATGAATAATCAAATATAATCAAGCATAAATCAATCAGTGTGATGAAGGAGAAAATGTAACCTCTGTGCAGTTTAATTGATTGCTGAGACACACAAAGTACAGGATGTGTAAAGAGTAGCAATGTGTAAGTGTGCATGTGTCACACGTGTGAGTGTGCTTGTGTCACACGTGTGAGTGTGAGTGTGCATGTGTCACACGTGTGTGTGTGAGTGTGCTTGTGTCACACGTGTGAGTGTAAGTGTGCATGTGTCACACGTGTGTGTGTGAGTGTGCATGTGTCACACATGTGTGTGTGAGTGTGCATGTGTCACACGTGTGAGTGTATAGAGATGGAGGAGCAAGTTCACCAAGAATAAAAGCTGAGGCAGCAGTTTTCCTCTCCAAGTCCTCCCAGCCTGTGCAGCACAGTGAGACGGCGTTCCTCCATCACCATCGTGCTGCGTACAACAATCAACACATGAAGGTGTGCAAAGTGACCAGACACAACAGCGCAACAGAGAAGTGCAACTTCTTAATCAACCAAAGACCCAGACAGACTTTTAATTCATGTGAAAGCCTGAAGCTTCGCCTCGTCCACCCCAGCTGTGAAACTCAGAAACCAGTCTTGTTATCATCTATGGTCCACCTGGGCCTTACACAGAGTTTCTGTCTGATTTCTCAGACTTTTATCTGATTCTCAGCTCAGATAAAATAATTATTGTGGGTGATTTTAACATCCATGTAGATGCTAAAAATGACTCAACATGGCATTTAATCTGTTGTTAGACTCAATTGGTTTCTCTCAAAATGTAAAAAAACCCACCCACCACTTTAATCACACTCTAGATCTTGTTTTAACATATGGCATAGAAACTGAACATCTAACAGTGTTTCCTGAAAACCCTCTCCTGTCTGATCATTTCTTGATAACATTTACATTTACAATAATTGATTA